ACAAGCAGAGTAACATGCAGTGCAAAATAAACAGTCTTAGTGACAATCCCTCTCCTTCAAAGTACTTCTTCCAAGTGGTGATAGTGAGAAGGGTAAGGCTGTGCACTCACCAGATGCACAGTGTAACTGCGCATTTAGAGATAAATCTCTACTGGATCCACTGGTGGCTCCTAAAGATCAGGTCAGGCCAGGTATTCCTCCCCCCGCTGGATGTTGCTGACAATCCACGGTCTCCCTTTTGGGTGGCTCTCTAGGTGATAAGTGACTCACCAAGGGCCACAAGGAAAGGAGACCAATAGCGTGATACCGTTTTTAAGGAATTAATTTTCTTTCAATACAGTATAGCATAGGTAAAGGAATCAGAAAATGCCACTGACCATGAGGTGAATTAGAAGATGGCCGACGGTACCTCCATGGTGCCGGTGGCAGAAAGATAGTGACGCTGTAGCTCCTTCCCTGATGCGTTTCGTGCTAATCGCACATCATCAAAGGGGATAAAGTGGTGTCGCCACGCTCCCTCTCCTTTGATTGACAGCCTACATAATTCTACTCCTGTACGAGAAGTGGCCGTGTCTTTTGAGCACTCCTGTACAGATCTCCCTCCTGCTGCCCCTAGATTGGCAGCTCTGTTCCTCAGCATTGTGGAAGGGGTGGAAATCAGGTGGTGCAGATCCAGGTGTCAGATTGGACAGGACTCACCAGGGGACATAGGCAGCCGACATGAGATCATTCGATCCAGCCAGACTCCCGGTCTTTTGCCAGAGCAAATGTTACACTCATTAGCAATCCTCACCATTGTGTCCAATAGAAGTTATGCTGTGATTAGAGACAGGTAGCAGGCCAGGAGTTCTCGCATGTGTGCAGGTGCCAAGTAGATTTGACATGGACGAGCATTGTAGCACAGTGCACGGGCCGGTGTGCACGTACTAGCACTCACACTGTGCGCACCACTATGCTGGGGATGAGGGCGTGGAGGGGAGTCCGATGATGTCACTGCTACACCTTCCAAGCTTTGGACTGCTACCGCGCCCACAGAAAGGGACAACTTCGGAGGGCTACATCACAAACAGAAAAATGTTTACAATAGGCGATCAGACTCTGAGCACTCAAAAGTATTTATGGAAGGCAGTCTTCAGCATTTGACTAACATTGGGTATATGACCGCTCGGTTAGAGAAAAGTGAGCACGCTCTCTGCACACAACCTCAAGCTGTCGTGGACGCATATGTGCGGCAGATTACTAAGAGGTTAAGGTGTTACTAAACCCAGGACCCTCCATTCACTCTATCTGGTCTCCCACAGTACACACAACATGGAAATGCATCTATTTTTTTAGTAAATATAAACTGCTATATGCCCTTTCTCATCAGCAGTTAGAGCAGTCTTGTGACTTCTATCAGTGTTCAGCAGAGCACTGGTTACAGCTTGTTGGAGTTTTCGTTCTGTAGCAGGATGCAGGATCTCTGACTGCTGTCTGGAGAGTGCTGATTGGCCCTGTGCTGATCACATGCATTCTCCCAAGAAAAAAAAAACTCTCTAGCAATACACACCAAACTAAGCATGTGCAGCTTGCCCCTAGCCTCTGATCCTCCCCTATTTCCAGTGTGTCCCAAATATCTCCTGATAGAAGAGGATCAAATATCCTTTTTCCACAATGCAGAGGATTAACCCCTTAGGTTCCACAGTGAGTATAACAAGCATGGTTTACTGCATATACAGACTGATTTTACTGTTGTGGGTTTAGTAACACTTTAAGTCAAGGGTGTCAAACTGGTGGCCCTCCAGCTGTTGCGAAACTACAAATCCCATCTTGCCTCTCCCTTTGGGAGTCATGCTTGTAACTATCAATCTTGCAGGGCCTCATGGGACTTGTAGTTTGGCAACAGCAGGAGGGTCGCCAGTGTGACACCCGTTCTTTAAGTGAAGGGAGCATCATTCACTGCACATCCTCCATGTTGCTACCACAATGTGAAACTCCTTTACCTGCTCTAGAGATCCACTGTGTGGCCTTACCTGACGCTGCATAGCCTTTGCTTAATTGGCTAAAACAGGGGTCTCCAAACTTTTCAGACAAAAGGCCAGTTTACTGTCCCAAAACTTTTAAGGGGCTGGATTGTGGCCAGTGAGGGTAGAAAATATTACAAGCCCAGAATAAACATGGCCTCGGGGTTGGTGGTCAGTAGGACGTGGCGTAGTGCCCTATCAGTAGGAGGAATATTACCCCATTACTGGTATCCGTGAAGAAATAGTTCCCCATTGTTGGTGTCATTGGGAGAATAGGGCCTCATGTCATTGGGGAAAAAGAGCACCTCAAGGGCCAGATAAAGGCTAGCAAAGGGTCGCATCTGGCCCTCGGGCCACAGTTTGGAGACCCCTGGGCTAGAAGGATAAAAGTGAGCTTCAAAAAGGTGTGTGTGGTTTTTTTTTTTTTTTTTTTTTCCTTTCACCAGGATTTCTCTGCACTGAGACATCTGTATTCACAATTTAAAGGGATACCTTCCAGTAATCTTAGGAGCAGTAAAATCCCTCATGTATAAAGTACCTCCCGGAGGAATGGTCTGTTTTTCCCCAACCAAGCAGTCTGTTTTATTTCCGGTTGCCAGGGAAGCTTGCAACAGCAGCGAGAGAAAATTAACTGGTTAGTCATTCTGATCTCCAGGCAAACCTCTCAAGACAGTGGTGAGATGTGTATATGGGAGTTGTTCTACCTGGTCAAAGAATATATCTTCTCATTCCAGTTCTCAGATCTGCATAGCAGATGATATCGCTTTGTCTGTTAGACTGTAGAAGAGATGCTTTGGTATCTTCTCTCCACTACCAACTTACTGAACACTAGAAAAAGCAAAAGACTGATGGAACCATCCTCTGCTCAACCCTATCTGCCTTCTCCTTGTCCACATTTTCATGCTACACGCCTGATTGGCTCCTATTCTGAGTGCTGATGTACAAGGCTCAAGTAAATTTTTAGTACTTCCACTAGTTGCCTGCGGGGAAGTTCGCTTTTAAAATTATTGTAAAGGCTTAAAGTGGAGCTCCACCCAAAAGGGGAAGTTCCGCTTTAAGGACGGCTCCCCATTAAGGATTGGCACCTTTAGGGGGCAGGGGGGGAGCGAGTACCCGATTTTTAACAGGTACCAGCTTCCGGCGGGCCAAAGCGGAAGGTGTCCTCCCTCCCTCCCCTGTAGTCTTTTGGGACACGTGACAGGTCCCAGAAGACTACAGGACCATTCATGAAGCGCACTGGGTACTCGGCTCTGAAGCCACAAGCTGTCACAGCCGGGTGCCCACACTAAAGATGCCGGCCTCTTGGAATACAGGACGGCCGGTGAAACGGGCTGCGGGGGACACATTGAGGAACAGGTAAGTGGCTGTTTTTTTTTTTTTTTTTTTTAAAAAGTCAGAAGCTACAGTTTTTGTAGCTGCTGGCTTTAATTTTTTGACAGGGTGAGTGGAACTCCGCTTTTAAATGTTGTTTTTTAAAAATTGTTTGTTTGTTTGTTTTTTGCTTGCTTGTTTTTTGCTTGCTTGTTTGTTTGTTTTTTGCTTGCTTGCTTGTTTGTTTGTTTTTTGCTTGTTTTTTTTTTTTTTGTTTTTTTTTTCAATGTATTTTCTGTATAAAGCTAAAAAAAAAACAACCCTGTGCACAGGCCCCCTTCTATATACCTACTTGAGCCCAATCTCAATTCAGTGATGTGTCTGAGAGCGGTGGCTCTATCCGCTCTCTCATCCTCACAGGACAGAAGCAGCTGCTGTCAGTCAAATCCTGTGATGAGAGGGCAAGGCTGAGCCATGCTGTCTGTGTCTGACACATTAGTACCCCCATCACAAGTGGCTTCTTCTGGGGGCAAGCGTTGAAGAGGAGGAGCCAGGAGCACTGGTGTGGGAGCCTAGAAGAGGAGCATTGGGGCTGCTCTGTGCAAAACTATTGCACAGAGCAGGTAAGCGTGACGTTTGTTTAAAAAAAAAAAAAAAGTAAGGCTTAGAAATGCTTTAGGAGAGAAAACTGACCTTTACGTGTCTAAAGTGAGCTGAAGTACAGATGGAATAAAAGTTTTTAAAGCAGGTTGAAGAGATGTGAAATTTGTAGCTATAGCAGACAGGAAATCGGCCAAATACAGTTTTCACCCTTCTTATGGATTTCATTTTAAACCGTTTTTTATGCTTTTACAAACCTCTGCCACACTTTACAGACATGCAAGGAGTGGATTTATTTCCTGGTTCATCTTGGGTATTCTCTCTGCACCTAGATTTTTCATTGTGCAAAAAATAAACATTCTCTCATGCCCAGTTAGCTGACTGGTGATCAAAGAATCTAAAGCTGGATCAGGAAGTAGATGGTTGCACAGTGTGTCAAAGTTAATTGAGTTAATAGTTATCTGGCAAAGGATGGTAATTCTGTACAGCTGGTCCTTCACGGGTGTAAACCTTTATGTCTAGGATGTCTCCTGTTTCTCTGCTCATCTTGTTTGCCTTTTTCTCCTTTTTGCAGTTATGGAAAGCCAGATTAAATGGTTATGAGGAAGCTCTAAAAGTATATCAGAAAATCGTAGATGAGAAGAGCCCAGAATGGTCCAAATACCTGGGCTTGGTCAAGAAGTTTGTCACAGACTCCAATGCTGTTGCCCAACTAAAAGGCTTAGAAGCTGCCCTGGTGTATATAGAAAATGCTCATGTTGCTGGGAAGTAAGTGCAATATTTATCTGTACTCTGTGCACAACTCACATCCTTACCCATTCTGTTGTCTTATGACGCTAAAGTATACGATTTGTTAGTTTTGGCCGATTTTCATTCATATCATGTTCATTTTTATGCAAAGTATCCATTCAGTTTTAACCTCTTGCTGTCCGCCTGCTGTTTATAAACGGCAGGGCGGTGGCACTCCAGGGGCGGGTTGTCGTTCATAAACGGCACCCATCTTTTCTATCTGTGCGCGCTCCCTGGGAGCACGCAGCACCGCGATCCAGTGCCTGCTGTGTCCTCAGGACACAGTGAAACGCCGATCGTTGCACGGGACCTCTGTACGAGGTCCCGATCATGTGATAATTGATAGGCCAATCAGTGATCACATGCAAAGTAGTAAGCAAGATGTCACTTGTGACATCATTGCTTACTACGTGTGAAATCTGTGAATGATCAGAGAGGTCTTATGGTACAAGGCTATTCACAACAGGCTTGTACCATGTGACAAGCTGTGACCAATCACAGCTCACTCAGTACTTCTCAATGGCTGCAAGAATGCAGACAGAGAGAAAGAGAAATGATTGATTTTACAACCTATATGGGTGTAAAAGCAATCACTGTAAAAAAATCTTCATCACCCCCCACAAGTAGTACAGTGTCACCATGGTCACACTGTACTGCTAGGGTGACAGTATGTAAAAAAAAAAACATAAATAATATAAAAAAATAAAATAAAAATGTTTAAAAATTATATATTTTTTGGTTATAAACTAATTTGGCTTATTTTTTTTTTACTAAAAATATAATTGAATAAATTTTGGTCAAGACTTATTATGAAATTATTTATTTGCAAAATGTTATAAGAAAAAACACACTTTTAAAATTTTTTTGGACATTTCCATTTACATAGCAAAAAAAATAAAAATCCCAGCGGTGAATAAATACCACCAAAATAAAGCTTTATCTGTCTCAAAAAAATGGTAAAAAATTCATACGGGTACAGTATTGCATGACCGCGCAATTGTCATTCAAAGTGTGATAGCGCTGAAAGCTGAAAATTGCCCTGGACAGGAAGGGGATAAAAGTGTCCGGACAGGAAGTGGTTAAAGGCTGTATGTTTGATTCAGGTCAGTGGCTTAGTAAGTAGTATAGCGGATATCCGAGTGACAACTGTAGACCCTACATCTCTAAAAGGGAAGAACTATTAAACGCATTTGATATTTTAACTGTATGGCAAAGTAAAAACAATACAGTTCATTTCCTCAAAATATGTACTTTCCACTCTTTTTTTTTTTAAAACACTATAGTACAGTAAAAATCCTGATGATACTGTCAAATCTTTTTAGCGCCTAACTTTTTGTTGGTTGATGCCCTAGAGCTGCTACACTGTAATCCCAAGCAGCGTTAATTGGCCTTTTCTGAGTTCCCTCTGCTGGACTACAGAACTTCTCCTTTCCCCATCCCTTTTCACAAGCATACATAGATAAAGTTCCCAGCAAAACAATGCAAATGACTTGACTACCGTGAGCCTACATGCCTACTGTGTAGTGAAAGGGTTTCTTCGAATATTTAGTTCTGGGGAGAGTTGCCTACATCAATAAGAGCTGAGCCGGGCACCCTGATCATCCCTCCTTCCAGCATCCACCCCTGCAGGAAATTTTACAACCCTATGTTCAATCCTGCAAAAATTTTACAACTCTAAGGTTCTCATAAGTTGTCTTGCTACAATAATAGGGTAATAGAATTAAATGCTAGAACATGCTGTAGAGGCGAAGAAGGCTTTTTTGGGGTTATTTTTGGGTCATGCCTGAAGATCACTGTTAAAGTCATCCTCCCGATCTGTGATGTAAATGCACTAATGCAAAGGTTTCTTCACGTGCAGGACTGCTGGGGAAGTAGCTTCAGGAGTAGTAAACAAAGTGTTTAATCAGCCAAAAGCTAGAGCCAAGGAGCTTGGATCGGATATCTGCCTAATGTACATAGAGATTGAGAAAGGTGAAGCTGTACAGGAAGAACTGCTCAAAGGTCTAGATAACAAGAATCCAAAGATTGTGGTGGCTTGTGTTGAGACTTTAAGAAGAGGACTAAGGTAAAGGTTCTTCTTGTTTAAAAAAATATATATATATATATATATATATATATATATATATATATATATATATATATATATATATATATGTAATTTATTTATTTTTGGATGAATGATCTTCTTTACAAACCACTTGTGTGTGTTTTTTTTTTTTTTTTTTTTTTTTTTTTTTTTTGTTTTTATGCAGTGAGTTTGGTTCAAAAATTATACCCCTGAAGCCAATAATTAAAGTATTGCCAAAATTGTTTGAGTCTCGAGAAAAGGCTGTTCGAGATGAGGCCAAGTTGCTGGCTGTGGAGATTTACCGCTGGATCAGAGATGCCCTGAGGCCTCCTTTACAGAACATTAATCCCGTGCAGGTGAGCAAAGTCTGGTGTATGGAGAATCGCAGATTAGTCCAGTTCATTTTACATGTTGAAACCATTTATGATTGGCCAACCTTAAGATTTACTTTTATATCTCTGTAGCTTAAAGAGTTGGAGGAGGAGTGGGTGAAACTACCCCAGTCGGCTCCTAAGCAGAGCCGCTTCTTGCGCTCACAGCAGGACCTTAAGGCCAAGTTCGAGCAGCAGCAAGCAGCCGGAGATGATGGTGGGTTTTCAAAGTTTTAGTTATTTATGTTCTTGTTTAAAGCGGGACCACACTGCATCTGGGTACCACAAAATGCTATTTCACTCATTTTTAATTTTCAAAGCATACTCACCCATCCATGTCTCCATGCTTTTATACTGAGAAACCACTTTTGAAATACATCATCCTAGCATTTCTGGCCATGGTCATCTTCAGTACAGGAAGATGATTCATTTAGCATTTTCTTCCTGGACTCCATCTGCCCTTAGCTCAGGCATGCTTGTAGGAGGATGTGCTTAGCTGAGAACCCCTTCTGGAGTCTCCTGGGATGTATGACATTTTGCCTAGGGAAGAAACCAGTAATTAACTGAAGAAATGTACACAAGTTTACAACATGTAAATATACTATCCCATCCATTTTCAAGTGCTGGCAGCATTAGGATTAAGAAGTCAGTGCTGATTAAAAGAATGACGTTCCTGTTTAGGTGGGGGGTGCTAGGGGATGTTAGGATGCTTTCTTGGTACCAGTTAGATTAAAGTTTAACTAAAGTAAAAACATTTTATTTTTTATTTTGGCTAGAGTGGAGCGGTGTTAGAATGTGTTGTTGTTTTTTGTTTTGTTTTTTTATTACTGTTGGTGTCCCTGCTAGGGAGTATCACCCTCTTTGTCCTGTTTACCATTCTCATTGAAAGTAACAGGAAATCCCAAATTTTTGTCCCCAGAAAAGTAATCTTCCTATGGGGATACTAGTTGTGGTGACCTGGGGGTCTCCAAGAAATTCCCTTTAATTTGCTGGGAATTCTTCTCACTTGCTGTTTGGCCATGGGACAGGAAGTGATGGGAAATCTTCATAATGGGACACAAATGGCAAAAAAAAAAAAATCTGACAGGGGTTATAACCCTCCCTTGCTCTAGCCCCCTAAAATTTGGCTTTAGTTCTACTTTAACTCTGACTGAAAGGGATAATAGAACATTTTTAAAATTGGCAACAGAACATAAAACTTTAAGTTGGGGTGCTTGTTTCGAAGACAACTAAATAACACTTTTCCTTCTTGAAGGTTGTGTTTTTTTTTTTTTTTTCCTTCTCCATTGTCCCTTTTGTGTCTACAGAAGAAATGGTAAATGGAAAGTCTCTAGTAACACAGAAGGCTTTTTATTTTTTTAACTATTCTCTACTGTATCCTATATTTGGGGGGGATCGGGCTTCATATATAGGTTAGGAATGGATCTCTGACCCATGATTTCTTTCCCTTCCTCTTCTTCAGATGAAGATGGAGATGAGGAAGCTGCACCTCAGGTGGATGCCTATGAGCTACTGGAAGCTGTTGAGATTCTCTCCAAACTGCCAAAGGATTTTTATGACAAAATCGTAAGTGGCCTTGTAGATTAGTAACGAAGCATATCATGCTCAGTAACTGTTGTGTTTTAAAGCTGAACTCCAGGATTAGCGAGTATTGCCAAAATACAAGAGGCATGTGTATTCGTACAGTGATCTAGCATGAAGCTTTCTCTGTGCTGGAGCTTCCTATAATGCAGCACAGTGATGGTGCCAGATGTTTGCTGCAATGACTGATCAGTGGTCTCCAAACGGTGGCCGGATGTGGCCCTTTGCTTGCCTTTTATCAGGCCTTTGAGGCACTATTCCACCCATTGATACTGATAAAACTCATCAGGTGTCATTTGCCTTTCATTTTGGTTTGGGAAGAAGCCATTCTGAGGATATCGGAAGCCCATATACACAAGCCTTTATAATTGTACTTCAGTTAAACTTGAAACTTCTTCTTTTATTTTTGACCCGTATGCAGTTACTGACTTAGCGACTCAGGGTTTATGATCTGTTCTTGTTACTGGTTTTCACTGCAAGTTAAATAAATCTTTGACAAAGTATTAATCACTGCAAATAGGGAGTGGGTTTCACATTGGGGGGTTACAGGTGGGATACTCCTTACAGCCACTTAAAAAAAATTGTCCTAATTGTTCAGTGGATATCTATTAAAATTGAAAACTTACTGACGTTTTCCCTTATAACTTTGCATAGGAGGCCAAAAAGTGGCAGGAGAGAAAGGAGGCTTTGGAAGCTGTGGAAGCCCTTGTTAAAAACCTGAAGCTGGAGGCAGGTGACTATGCAGACCTTGTCAAAGCTTTGAAGAAGGTAAGATTCTGAGGCAAAAAAAATGAAGGGGGTTTTGTTTTAGAAATTTTTGGTCTTCTAAAATTGTGATGGTCCCGTTTTTTGTTTTGTTTTTTTTTTATCTTGCAGATTGTTGGAAAAGACACAAATGTCATGCTTGTAGCACTGGCTGCCAAATGTCTGGCAGGGCTGGCCGCCGGTCTGAGGAAGAAGTTTGGTTCGTACGCTGGACATGTAAGTAGAAACTATACCAAAACTGCATCTTACATGCCACAGAAGAGCAGTGCTTTTCAGTTTTAGTATATTAAAGGCCTGATGTATGGATCTTAACTGTAATGGCTGGTTTCAGCTTTTTAGGAGTTCAAGTATATAATATCATTAATTTTTTATAACCTCATAACTTTTTTTTTTTTTCTTTTGCAGGTTGTGCCAACTATTTTTGAGAAATTCAAGGAGAAGAAACCTCAGGTAGTCCAAGCCCTGCAGGAGGCCGTAGATGCTATTTTTCTCACAGTGAGTATCCATGAAGCATTGTGCGAAAACCCAT